TGCTTCCACGTCAACGTGACAGGCCATGCTGCATTTGTTTACCTGTTTAGTTTTGGTGCTGGTGACTAAACTTCACACATTGCTAGGCCGTATCTTCCTCTGAGCTACTGTCTCCTTATTTATTTTACTTTTATTTTGAGATAGGCTCTAATTAAGCCACCTGGCTGACCTTGAACTTTGGATCCTCCTGCCCCATTCTTGTGAGTATTGAGTTGACAGCTCTTCACTTCCAGGCCCAAATAAAGTGTCATTTGTTTTAAACTAATATTTCAGTATTTCTCAAACTTTTCTACAGAAGTGCCTCTCACAGCAGAGAAATTTCAAAGATGTCCAGGAGAACACACGTAAGGAATGCAGCTCTGTGGTGCTCAGTAATAGGGATTCTGCCCCTAAACTGGATCCCCCCCAAATTGCAGAAGAATAACAACAGGTTGATTGGAGCAATGTAACTCCGCGGCCGGTTCTCCAGTCCCAGAGACTGAGGCTGGAGAAGCCATGCCCCAAAAGGTAAGGACTTTTATAGGTTGTAGGTGAGGGGTGATGACGTGTCTGCCACAAGTCGGGTTTGTGCCCAAGTAAGGTCAAAAGCTGACCACTTCAGGCGGGAACTTGGGCAGCTGGCACCTTCAGTGGAGGTGCTGGAGAAGTCGCTAAGAACTCGAAACTGAACATTTGGCACCTTTGTTCGGAGACTCCGAGTGGGCGGGGTTTGGTGAGAGGTGGGAATGGGGCTTTCCAGATTATCCAGGGTGAGCTGGAGGCTCCAACCCAACAGTCAGTTTCAACCGTCATTTTAACACAATCTAGAATCACCTAGATAGAGGGATTGTGGAGACTGGTTGCCCGGTGGACACGTCCGTGGAGGATTGTCCTGAATATTTGATTGATGTGGAAACCCATTCTTGGCAGCATGATCCCCTAGGCAGTGGAGTTGAGCACACATGCCTGCATTCATCATGAAGGGAGCAGGCAAAAGCACCTTGGCCTAAGTATTGCCATTTTGATTTCAGACTCCATCTTACCTGTAGGGTGAAATAAAGTTCAGGTTCTCAAGCCGGAGGGGAGCTGAGAACTCTCCAATGGCTGACCAACCTCCTCCGATAGAAATAGTCGTTATGAATCTTAAGTTCTCTAAGACATTATGGCTGTTCCTAACAACATAAAAAAAGAAATGAATCTCATTGGTTGGACTGAAAGGCTTACATTCTGTGTCCCTAGTCTTTGATTCCAGATTGGTGAAAATTTTAAATGTAACTTGGCAACGAAAGTTTATGGTTTTTGTGCTTATAATCCCTGCTTCTGCCACTGCTCGCGACTGACAGGGGAAACAAGGCTCCAGAGTCCTTGTCCTGCGGCTCTTATTGATAGTGAGTGACCCGATTATGTGGTGATTATTAAAGTCTTTGGAACAGTGTTGTCTCCTTCTTTGTAGCACGCAGTGGGCCTCCACCTCCTTCCTGAGTACTAGGTGCCATATTGGTCACTTTATAAAATGCTGAAAACCAAACTCAGGATTTTGTGCAAGCCAACCACTCTACCAAAAGAACTGCCTTCCCGGCCCCTGTAAGCAGCCTGAAGTCTTTGTCTTCACATATCGAAGAATATTTTTTTAAAGGGAGGGTCTCAAATAGCCCATTCTACACAGTCAAAGATGATCCTCTTGGGGGGCTGGAGAGATGGCTCAGAGGTTAAGAGCATTGCCTACTCTTTCAAAGGTCCTGAGTTCAATTCCCAGCAACCACATGGTGGCTCACAACCATCTGTAATGAGGTCTGGTGCCCTCTTCTGGCCTGCAAGCATACACACAGAAAGAATATTGTATACATAATAAATAATAAATAAATATTTAAAAAAAAAAACAAAGATGATCCTCTTGAAACAGGGTTTCTCCGTGTAGCCTTGGTTGTTCAGGAACTCTCTCTGTAGACCAAACTGGCCTTGAACTCACAGAGATCTGCTTGTTTATGCCTCCAAGTACTGGGATTAAAGGCGTGTGCCACTACCACCTGGTTCATAGATGACCTTGCGCTCCTGCAGAGATCACAGGCATGCTGCACCAGGTCCTATTTAGGTACCGCTAGGGATAAACCCAGGGTGTCCTGCATGTTAGACAAGCACTCTGCTAACTGAGCCACATCCCTTAACTGGAGTCCGAGAAATTTCGTGACTATTACTCTGGCATCTTAAACAGTTACACAAATTTTATTAACTTCACCACCACCACCCCTTCTTTCTTTTGAACAGAATCTCACTGTGAAGCCTTGACTGGTCTGGAATTCATCCTGTAAACCAGTCTGGCCTCAGATGCACAGAGACCCATTCACCTGCCCCTTCGTCACAAATTAAAGGCTGATGCCACCATATCCAGCTATTTTTTGTGAATATTTATTTATTATGTATTATGAATACAATATTCTTTCTGTGTGTATGCCGAAGGCCAGAAGAGGGCACCAGACCTCATTACAGATGGTTGTGAGCCACCATGTGGTTGCTGGGAATTGAACTCAGGACCTTTGGAAGAGTAGGCAATGCTCTTAACCTCTGAGCCATCTCTCCAGCCCCCAGCTATTTTTGTCTTAATGTGTGTTGACAGACACATATACACATAAAAATAGTAAGGCGAAAATAAATTAAAGAATTAGATTTTAAACTGGGCGGTGGTGGTGCACACCTTTAATCCCAGCATTTGGGAGGCAGAAACAGGCAGGTCTCTGTGAGCTTGAGGCCACAGAGTGAGTTCTAGGACAGGCTCCAAAGCTACAGAGAAACCCTGTCTTGAATCCCCCCCATCCCTCCCCAAAACTTACTTTCACAACTATTAATGCTCTCTAGTAAGCTGGAACACTTAACATGGTCTCAGTATTTAGTCGTACATGGCTGCTGACAAAGGACTCTTGGCTACTGTGATCTGGTAGAGTATTATTCCACCCCGGTTTCTGAGGCCAGAGCATCAGTACCGCGGAATTTACTGGGATGAAAATGCTCATTTGCTATCTGGAGAAGCCTTCCAACTCACTGTGAGGCAGTTGAAATTTGAAGAAGTCTTACTTACCCAACACTTAGTAACCGCCCCGCCCCATTGGCGGTTGGACCAAGGGTTTCAAAGGTGCCAGGCAAATGCTCTACCATTGAGCTACAGTCTCAGCCTTGCACTTCGTCTACTCATCCAAGTAAGGTACACGTTTAAAACAAAAACGTACAACTGAAAATAATACTGAAACAGGACTTTAACCCTAAAGGTACTTTTTACTAGAATTCCGCTAAGAAATGTGTTTTTCCTTCAGGCTTTTAAGAGCAAGCAGGAGCAGATTGTTAGTTAAGTCACTTGTCGCCCCCGCGTGGCAGATTCAGAATATCGCGCCCAATATCATTTAAAAACACAGAAAGGTACTCTGTGCTCCTCTCCTAATTGCCCCTATTTACACCTCGCGGCATTTTTTTCTCTCCAAGTAATTTCAATTACGGTTTCAAAAGACCTAGTTTGGCACATGACTCTTTAATAGAAGATTCTTTAAAAATTTCCTTTAAAAGATTCGAGAGCCGGGCGGTGGTGGCGCACGCCTTTAATCCCAGCACTCGGGAGGCAGAAGCAGGCAGATCTCTGAGTTCGAGACCAGCCTGGTCTATAAGAGCTAGTTCCAGGACAGGCTCCAAAGCTACAGAGAAACCCTGTCTCGAAAAGCCAAAAAAAAAAAAAAAAAAAAATTCTTTAGAGTGAGTGCAAAGGCGCGGATCTCTGTGAGTTCGAGGCCAGATTGGCATACAGAGAGAGTTCCAGGACGGGGTCCAAAGCCCCTAAAGAAGCATCGAAACCCCCCTCAACCCCCTGTAAGTAAAAAGCAGGAAGACAGCTATAGTAGCAACAACCATGCCACACATAAAACTCACATCATAATGTACAGTAAGGAAAAGAATAAAGCTGACTTTAAACCAGTAATAAAAAGAAACCACTCAGACTGTATTTCTCCCCCTCCACTCTCCCAAAGGAAGAGTGGAACGATCATCAATGGCAGATAGCAGTTGCACGAAGCAACACTAAAAGCCGGCTTCACGCTCAGGGGAGAATACTCTGTCTCCTCCTCGTGGTTTCGGGTGCTCTACACAGTCAGAGAAACTTCTCTAGTAACGAACTATAGAAATGATCCCTGAAAGTATAGTCTTAAAGTTGTGCTGGCAACCGCTGCCGAGTCACACCTGGCAGTACATTTTTCACTAATGGTGACATTGGATGTCCATTTTCCCCCCGCTCCGTCGCCGCCATCGGTGATCTTCTCTCCGAAGAAGTAGCACACACATGTATTTTCAAAGTGATATTCGTACTTTCCTTTGAAAAATAAATCATTCTAAATATTATGAATTGTACAGTAACTCAGATTTAAAGTTCTAATTAGCATATTACGGGCAACAGCCAATCACGCTACTGTATTCAGGCAAACAAAACCGCTTCCGGTCCGGTTTAAAGATAAAGGGTGTGTGCGGGTTCTCAGATTACATTCTGTTGAAACTGATTTTGCTTAGTAACCTTTGCTGTTCGATTTCCACCCTGCCCCAGTCTTCCCAGTGCAACATTCGGTAGCATTAGTGCTGGATGTGCAAGCCTATGCTTGGTGCTAGCTAGACTGGCCTTGAATTTGCATGAATAATCCTGCTTTAGCCCCCTTAGCAGCTGCTGGGATGACAGTGTAGGCAAGCACTTCAGTTGACTCAAATTGGTTCTCCAGGTATCAGTGCCACACGCGAAGTACGCGAGGTTTAGTTTCTAAGATTCAGAGCTTAATCCAGCAGGGAGGTAGAGGCAGATGCTTGTGTGCACGTTCAGCTACTCTCTGAGTTCTGGGCAGCCTGAGCTCTACGAACCACGTTCTCCCAAGGGGGTAAAAAAATCGAAATTCCCAAGCTCGAAAGCTCGGAGTGTGCAGAGCCTTCACGTGGTTCTCCCGCGGACTCCTGGCGTGGCCATCTTGCTTTCTGGCGAGGCGATCGTGCGTCGTGAGCAGCAGTAGCCGGATATGGGGCGCCGCTGCCCGTATCCAAGATGGCGGCCCCGGGTGGGCGTAGCCAGTGATGGCGTCTCCGAGTGTGCGAGCTATGGCGGCTGCGATGGATCCGAGTTGGGAGGACGAGGATGAGGAGGAGGAAGAGGAGATAGAGGAGGCTGTAAGCGTGGGTCGAAGGCCTTCAGCGTTGGCGGTCATAGCTGTGCCAAGCCCGTTGGGGAAGAGGGTTCCGGGTGCGGACGGCGGGAGGGAGGCCCGGAGAGACTGCTCGCTCTCTTTCAGACCCTGGGGCACGAGAAGCGGGGAGCTCTAACCCCAGTACTAGTCTACCCATTCTAGAAAGACTAGAGATGGTCTTGGGGGTTCCGCGGGTAATCTGCTTCCACCAGAGACTACATCCAGTTTTCACAAAGGTGGCATCGTTAAATTGGGATTTGTGGCATTTCTGTTTATTGTCCCTTGCTCGCTGGCCGTGTACCATACTAACTTTTCTTTCTTCCGCCAGGAGCAATTTGTTCTGGTAGAGTTGTCAGGAATTATTGATTCAGACTTTCTCTCCAAATGTGAAAATAAATGCAAAATTTTGGTGAGTCTTAGAATTTGGGGAATGTTGTAGATTTTTATTCTTTCAAGTTCAGCGAAAGTTGTAGATTTTCTTTCTTTTCTCTGACTCTCTCTCTGTCTCTGTCTCTCTCTGTCTGTCTCTGTCTCTCTCTCTCTCGTTTTTTAAGACAGAGTTTCTCTGTGTAGCCCCATGCTGGCCTGGAACACTGAAATCTGTCTGCTACTGCCTCCTGAGTGCTGGGATTAAAGGAATGTGCCACCACCACCTGGCATTTTTTCTCAAAGTTAAAACAGGAATGAAGCGGCTACACTTATCCACGAAGATAAATATGATCATTCCACTTTACAAAGCTTAAAGGGACTGTTCCAGAGGAACAGGGTAACGGGTGATTCTATGGAGTAAGGAAATGCCTGCTGCCTGAATGTACGGCCGGAGAGAATATGAAGAGCAAAAGATAACATTTTGTTTGGAACTTTGGACAAAAGCCTCATCCAGTGCTGTACCTAAGCAGAGCCTGTCTTCTTTCTAGTAGGCCTAGAAAGTTCCATCCTCCAGTGGTACCAGTCAAGAGTACTAGTCTGGTCCCAGACTCTGGTCTAAGTGTGGACATGTATACTGCGTGGCCAGGCCAGTTGCTCAGTTGCTCAGTATCCACATTACTTGCTTCTCTCAAGTGTCTGCACATGACAACAGGCAGAGTCTTTGGTGTATCTCCATGGCTCACACCTGAGCCTCAGCCATCAGACTATAAGAAACAGCATGAAAGTAGGCCGTCCTGGTACACCCTGTAATGTCAGCATTGGAGAGTCTATGGCAGGCATCCTTAATGACAAAGTAAATTCTAGGCCAGCTTGAGTTACAAGGAGCCTTGTCTTTAAAAATCCTAAAGAAGCTAGCTAGTGGTGACACACACCTTTAATTTCAGCACTTGAGAGGCAGAGGCAGGTGGATCTCTATGGGTTTGAGGCTGCCTAGTTTATTTGACACATGTCTTTAGTACCAGCACTTTAGAGGCAGAGGCAGGTGGACAAAGAAACCCTGTCTCAAAAAAACAAAACAAAAAAATAAGCAAGTTATAAAGTCTGTGATAATTGTGTGTACATAACGGGTTTCATTCTAATAATATTATACATGCACATAATATACTTGATCATAGTCACCCGTCTCCCCTCCGCCTTCCTTCTCCCCAGTAGTTCCCGGCAAGGGCTGATGGAATAGAGGATGGCCATGAACTCAGTTTGTAGCTAAGGCTGTTTTTGAGCTTGATTCTCCTACTTCTACCTCTTGAGTGCTAGGATTGCCGGTATGTGCCACCATACCTGGCATTGCTTTTCTTTCTTTCCTTTTTTTTTTCTTTTTATGATTACATTTATTTATTTTTGTGTGTGGCCGTATGCATGCCACGGTATTCCTGTGGAAGAGGTCAGAGGACAGCTTGTAGGAGTCAGTTTCCACTCCCACCATGTAGGTTCTGGGGATTGACTCAGGTCATCAGGTTTGACAGCAAGCACCTACCTGCTGAGTGATCTTGGTGGCCCTTGAGATTTGTTTTGTCATGTTTTTTGCTTTTTTTGAAGACATAGTCGCATATGTGGTCTGAGCTGACCCACGATCTTGCCATCCCGGAACTCACTCTATAGACTAGACTGGTGTCAAGCTCAGATGGCCTGTCTCTTTGCTTTCCAAGTGCTGGGATTAAAGGCATGCTCCACCACACCTGATCCAACGAGCCATGGCTATCCAGGAACTTGCTTTGTAGATCAGGCTAGCCTCTGCCTCATGAGTGCTTCAACACACCAGCTCCGAGGTCATTTTTTTGGTGGTGGGGGAAGTTTTTAAGATGGTTTCTCTGAGAAACAGTCCTGGCTTGTCCTGGAACTCACTTTGTAGACCAGGCTGGTCAGAGTGTCCACCTCTGCCTCTTGAGTGCTGGGATTAAAGGTGTGCACCACTACTACCTGGCTTCAAGGGAAATTTCTTTTTAAAGGTTTATTTATTTAATATATAGTGTTCTGTCTGCTCGTATGCCTGCAGGCCAGAAGAGGGCGCCAGATGGTTGTGAGCCACCATGTGGTTTTGGGAATTGAACTCAGGACTTCTGAAAGAACAGCCAGTGCTCTTAACATCTGAGCCATTTCTCCAGCCCTCAAGGGAAATTTTCTAATGATGGTATTTTATGCCCTTTAATCTGTTGTAGGGAATTGACACTGAGAGGCCCATCCTGCAAGTAGACAGCTACGTATTTGCTGGGGAGTATGAAGGTAGGAGAGTGCCGGATGTTCAAACTCCTTTATCATGTGGCTTTCAGAGTATTTCTGCCATCTTTCCTAATTTGCCTTACATTTTCCTGCAGATACTCTTGGGACCTGTGTTATATTTGAAGAAGGTGTTGAACGTGGTAAGTCATTGCTATGCTAGGCTAACTTTCTAAAGATTATTTCAAATTTACTGTGTGTTTTGCTTTTTGTTTTTTATTTTATTTTATTGTTGCTTAATATCAGGTCAGCTGTAGCTCAGGCTGGCTTTGAACTCACAATCCTGCGTCCTTAGTGCTGGGATTATAGCCTCGATACATTGTAGCACGAATTCTAATGGTTCTTAATAAAAACCCTGAGCCAGATATTAGGGAGTGAAAGCTGAGAGATCAGAGAAGCAGTGCAGCCAGCCACTAGAGAGATCTTCTGCTTCTACAGAATCCTCAGACCAAAAGGACAGTCCTGTCCTCTAAGTGTATCCTCAGACTGCTGCCTTAGATGGATTGCTTCAGACTGCACTGAGCTCCTGTCTCCTTCTGCCTTTTTTTTTTTTTTACATTTTTTTTTATTTTGTTGATATTTATTGACATTTTTCTCTGCTCCCCTCCTTGTCTCTCCCCTCCCTGCTAATAGCTACTCTTTGTCATCTTCTCTATGTTAGTTCTAAAGGATTTGTATCTTATTTATATGTTCATTTGATCTTTACCACAGTTCAGTGAACAAGATACTTTCTGTATGTTTGGAAGCAGCCTCAGTACAGGGTGGCCTGGAATTCTCTGTGTTATTTCCTGAGCCTCCCAAGTGCCAGCGTCGGTGCCGTCTTCATGCTCCTTCATAGCTGGAGAAAGCACGGGTGTCAGCAACAGTCTCAGATTCTCACAGGAGTGAGTGGCAGGGCCAGGGTTTGAATGTTTCAAGGCTCACTTTCATTTTCTCTTTATGATGTTGGGGACTGAACTAGAGATTTGCATATCCTCTCCCTGGCTGACTTCAGACTTGTGATCCTCCTGTCTCAGCCTTCTGAGTAATTTGCTGTACAGCCATGCATTTCTTAATGTTCTTAACCATACCGAATACCTCACTGTGAACGTATGCTGCCGTACATTCTTATGTGTGTCTTTGTGTGTACAGGTAAACAACTTTCTCCAAACTTTATATCTAGAGCTAGATTGAGCAAAGGGAAGAAAAAAGATTTAATAAGAGGCTGGGGTTGTAGCTCTCCTCTAGAACATTTATTTGCTTAGCACGTGGGAGGCCTTAGCCACAATTACCCAGCACCAAAAAATGAATGTAAAAAGAGGGGTGGAGGAGAATAAAAGTGGAATGTATGCTATCTTCAACTAAATGAGCAGCTGGAACTACATGAAATTCTAAGTTTGAATATTAGCAATAGCCGGGCAGTGGTGGGCAGTGGTGGCGCACGCCTTTAATCCCAGTACTCGGGGGCAGAGGCAGGCAGATCTCTGAATATGAGGCCAGCCTGGTCTACAGAGCTAGTTCCAGGACAGGCTCCAAAACCACAGAGAAACCCTGTCTCGGAAAAAAAAAAAAAAGAAAGAAAGAAAAGAATATTAGCAATAGTTGGACTTCATATGGTTCCGATATCTAGATGCCATCATGTTCTCTCCTGATGTGTAGCAGGAGCTCACACTTGGCAGAGCAGTATGTGGAAGCCTCTGGTGTCTCCTGTCTTTGGTCCAGTGTCTCATTCTCTCACCTGTCTGGGTCTACAGTCTTTTTTTTTTTTTTTTTTTTGGTTTTTCCAGACAGGGTTTCTCTGTAGCTTTGGAGCCTGTCCTGGCACTAGCTCTTGTAGACCAGGCTGGTCTCGAACTCACAGAGATCCGCCTGCCTCTGCCTCCCGAGTGCTGGGATTAAAGGCGTGCGCCACCACCACCCGGCTCTACAGTCTTTAGAAGTTGCAGTTCTAGGCAGCAATATCACAGCAGTTTTCCCCAGGCTTTTCTAACTGGGAACATCCCCACTCAATCCTCTTGCTTCAAGTAGGGCATTTGGTTCTGGTCCTTCATTTGGGTGATGGGATTGTTGACAAACTGTCCTGCAGGCCAACTCCTGACCTTAATTTCCCATGTTAGGGCTTGAGTCTACCCAACCTGTTCCCTTCATCTCTGTTTCATGTTTCTGGCCTCATGGCTGTTTGGGTCTGAGTCTGTTGTGCCTTTGAGTGGCAGTGTTTTCTGTCGTTTCTTTGCGTGTGGGACAGGAGTGGTGAATCACAGTGTGACTTCCCGTGCTGTCTCCGTAGGAAGTAGTTGAGTACTTGATGTGATGCGTGAAGCAGCATAATAAGATCATTTTATGTCCTAGTGGAGCCGGAAGGGACCGACAAGACAGTGCTCAAGTACAAATGCCACACGATGAAGAAGCTCAGCATGACAAGGACGCTGCTGACAGAAAAGAAGGAAGGAGAAGAAAACATAGGTTCGTTGACTCCATTCTTTGAAGATGGGTGCCCTTGGGCTGGGAACGTAGCTAAGTGGACAAGAACCTTGCCCAGCGTTTGTGAGGCCCTTGGATCAATGCCTAGTACTAGCAGGATATGGTGGCATATGCTTGTAATCCCAGTGCTTTGCGGGGTGGGGGAAGGCAGCCGAAGATCAGGAGTTCAAGGCCAGACTCAGCTACTTGGCAAGTGGAAGGAAGATGTGAGCTCAAACCCTGAGTCCCATACATTAATAGACAAAAGCAAGTGTGGGCTTTGGCAGTGGGTGATACGCTGCTATCAGGATATTCCTTGGATGTTCAGAAATAGCTATATTAATAAACTATATTAAAATTTAGCACTGCATTGGGTGTGTGGCTGTTAGGTACAATCCCAGTACTTGGGAGGCCAGGCCAGGCCAGGCTCAGAGTTCTTCCTTTTGCTTTTGTGCCACAGACTCCCATTGCCTTCCGATGTCCTCCTGTCCCTGTTCATGCCTCCCTCGCCATCCCCTTTCTTCCGGTGTCCTCCTGCTTCTGTTCATGCCTCCCTCGCCATCCCCTTTCTTCCGGTGTCCTCCTGCTTCTGTTCATGCCTCCCTCGCCATCCCCTTTCTACTTTCATGTCCTAGAAAGTTTCCCTAGGAGGAAAGCATGCAATATGTGTCTTTCTCATCAAGCTTATTTTGTTTAATAATGAGTTTTAGAGTTCTAGTTGTATCCATTTTCCTACATATGTCAACTTAATTCTTATTTATAGCGAAATAAATAAACTTACATTCTGTATTGTGTATGTACCACTTTTTAGACAGGAACTCTTGCAGCCCAGGTTGGGATCCTTCTGCTCCTCCTCCTGTCACCACCTCCCTAGCACTGGGATTACAGACGCGCTGCCTCTCCCTTTCTGAGTGCTGGGCGATGCAGGCAAAGCTCAATCCTCAGCAGCCTTGCAGGGGACTGGGGAGGTGGACACAGGAGGACAGGCCCACTGGTCAGTCGGTCTACCTGGATCAGTGAGTTCCAGGTTCAGGGAGAGACCTCTTCTCCAAAGTCAGGTGCAGACTGATTAAGGAAGATGTCCCATGTCTACTTTTGGCCTTTATACACACATGCACATGTATATTTGCACACATGCACATATACCACACACAAAGACATTAGAGTTTAGGATGTTTTAAATTGTTATTGGCAGCAGTGGCTTGTACCGATATGGACGTCAGAGGACAGCTCTGGGTCCGTTCTGTCATCTCCCTGTAGGGTCTGTGGATCAGACTTATGTAAATCTCTCATGGCAAGTGCTTTTACCCGCTGAACTGTCTTCAAAACCCCATAAATATTGAATAAATAAGTAGACAAATAAATAAATAAACAGGCCAGGCATAGTGACCTTTCCTTTAATCCCAGTACTTGGGAGATAGAGGCAGACAGATAGATCTTTATGAGTTCAGGGCCAGTCTGATCTACACAACTAGGGCTCCATAGTGAGATTCTGTCTCAGGAAATGAATCTGACATAAAATAAAATCATTTTAAAGGTGCTTGACCTGAAGTGAAGAGACTTGGGAATGAAATTGAGGCATGCAGGGCTGTATCCTCCCTATATGTGTTTATCCCAATGATGGATCTTTAGTATGGTTCTGTATCTTGGCTGTTGTGAATACTGCAGCCATAAACATAGATGTGCAAGTATCTCTGTGCTAGACCAACTCAGCATCCTCTCACTGTGTATGTAGGAGTGATACTACTAGACCGTTTACTGGTCTTCTTTTTTATAAGGCATTGTCATATTGATTTCTGTAGTGGCTGTACAAATTTACATCCCCAGCAGCCCCAGTAACAGCTCGTCATCTGTGCCACATTTGTTTTGATTAACTGAAATTTTCTGCTTCTTTCTTATTTGCCCTGCTTATCTCCTGCCCACTTAGATGGCGTAGAGTGGCTGCAGATGAAGGATAACGATTTCTCCTATAGACCCAACATGATCTGCAGCTTTCTGCATGAAAATGAAGATGAGGCTGTAGTGCCGGCCCCTGACAAACCTGTGGAGTTGGAAGACGAAGAGATTCAGATGGAAAGCAGCGCAGAGCAGACCCACGAGCAGGAGACAGGGCAGCACTCAGAAGCAGAGGACCCTGGCTCTCCTGGAGACACCCCTGCCGAGATGGGAAGCTCTGTCTTCATGGGAATTCAAGATGGAAATGTTTCTCAGTCATGAACTTTTTGAAAAGAGGTCTTATATACAATAATTGCCGTGTAGCTTGCAAATGGCTTACCATTTTGTTGTTACTGTTAACAGTATATATATATTTACAGTTACAGTACAATTTAATATACTAGAATCATGCAGGACCAGACAGGAATTCTGTTTTTTAAAATATAACTTATGGGGCTAGAGAGATGACTCCATAGTTAAGGAGGACACTGGCTGCTGCTCGTCCCAAGGACCTGGCTTTGATTCCCACAAGGCAACTTAAAACCATCTGTGGCTTCAGTTCCAGGAGATCTTATGCCTGCCCTGGCTTCGGTCGGCATCAGGTTCTCTCTTACCTGTCTGTGGGTTCTGGAAATCAAAGCCAGGTCATCAGGCTAGCACAGCAGATGCTTTTCCTGTGGACCATGTCACAGCCATCTGTATACATACAACCCCTTTAAAATATTGATGTGTATGTGTGAGTGTGTTTGTGTGTTCACCACAATCTTTCTGACCTGGGGCCCGAAGACTCCAGAAGAGCAATTTGGGTTTCTTGGAACTGGAGTCGGAGATGGTCATGAGCCATGTGGGTGCTGGGAACTGAAGCCCAGTGCTCTCCAGGAGCAGTAAGTCCTCTTTAACTGCTGAACCATCACTTGTCATTCTCCCCCATCCCCACCCTCCTTTTGGTTTCCTGAGACAAAGTTTTGCTATGTAACCCAGGCTAGGCCTAAATTTTCCAGCTTTTTTTTTTTCTTTTTTTTGAGACAGGGTTTCTCTGTAGTGTTTGGAGCCTGTCCTGGAACTAGCTCTTGTAGACCAGGCTGGTCTTGAACTCAGAGATCCACCTGCCTCTGCCTCCCAAGTGCTGGGATTAAAGGCGTGCGCCACCATTACCCGGCCCAGCTTTGTGACGGTAGCGAGTGTCCTTGTATTTTAAAGTCATCTTGCACATAGACATTATGAAGGGCAGAAGCAACAAGACAGTAGGTTGGATTTGGAAAGCCGATGCTGCCCTAGACCACTATGAGTTAGAGGGTCAACAAAACCTTTCCCTGGTAAAAAGACCTTGAGGTGGTTTTGGGTTTCGTTTGAGTTTGGGTCTCATGATGTAATCCTGACGGACCAACAGGGAGTACCTGCTTCTGTCTCCTGAGTGCTGGAATTCAAGAATTGCCACCATGCCCTGCTGATCTTGAGTTTCCCTTTCAATACTTGAAGATGCTAATGGAATGTCAAGTATGATACTATCAATATTATGATTAAAAAATGGCCCCTTGACTAGAGGTATAGTTTTTCAAGACAGGGTTTCTCTGTAGCTTTGGAGCCTGTCCTGGAACTCCCTTTGTAGACCAGACTGGCCTCGCACTCACAGAGATCCGCCTGCCTCTGCCACCCGAGTGCTGGGATTAAAGGCGTGCGCCATCACCGCCCGGCTGGACTTCAACTTTCAATCCTGCCTTGCCTCTTCCTGGACTCCAGAATTAGTTTTACAAGGCTGTGCGGGGTTCACCCGCTTTGTGAATGCACCCTAAACCACTAAACTGTACACATCACATTAAAGGGTGCATTTTATATAACTATGCAAATTATGACTAAAATTTAAAAGTTGAGGGGAAATCACAATCAGCAGTATTCTCCGTAAATCTTTTTTTTTTTTTTTTTTTTTGTAGAAAGCAACTGGGTAATTAACCGGCCGCAACTGATCTCGCAGTTAAGCCAATGATGTCATTTTCATGCCAGTGTTTTTTGTAATTATCTGAGTACCATGCCTCCAACCTTTCTAGAATTCTGGTTATTTCTCTGAAGGCGAACACTTGGTTCCCCCAAACTCGGCTCCACACCAAATCACTTAAAGCGTTTGCTTTTCAGAAAACAACCAAAACATTCCGTAACCAAGGGAACAGAACGCTATGCCCTCCCACCATGGCCGCCACCGAGGTCGGCGGAGCTAAGGAAGTCGTGTTTCGTGTTTCCGGTACCGCCTCTTCCGGCGCTAGCGGCGGCTTCGCGGAAGTACGCGGAACACGTGTGTTAGCTCGGGGTCCGGTAGCGATGGACGCTTTGGATAAAGTTCTGTAAGTGTGTGTGGTGCGCGATGGCGTGGGGAGGAGGGGTGGAGAGTCTCCCGCGGCTGGGCTGTTGCCTCTGCCGTGGTCTCTCCCCGTTTTTGCGCTTTCCTGACTGGAGGGAAGGAGCTGGCCGATCCTCCCGCCCGGGTCTGCTGGAGAAGCCTTGCAGGCTGACTGCGAGCTGTGGGGTGGAGCGAGGACCACAGCCGTGGCCAGAGCCCAGGGCTTACGGCCCCGCCACGGGTGGATTGTAAAGTGTGAGAAAGGCGGTGGACCGAGTTAAGATTACAGGCTCGGAATCTGACAGAACCAGGTCACAAGCCGGCCTCAAAGTTCTGTAACTGAACCTTTAAAACTCTTGAATTCAGCGCACCCTGTAAAATAGCTGTCGTGGTAGTCTTGGAAGTGTTTGCCATAACAAGTACAGAGCTTTTTTTCTTTTCCGTCTAAATTTGTATGCTTCTGCTTGTCACTGAGGGATGGTTACGTTTGCTCAAACTAATTATTGGGTTCCCGTATGTTAGAGCACTGGACGTTGGAGTTTTCCGCCGCCCCCCTCCCCGGGGGTTTTCGATAAAGGGTTTCTCTGTAGTCCTGGTTATCCTGGCATTCGCTCTGTAGATCACGCCGGCCCTTTCCTACTGAGTGCTGGGATAAATAAAAGTCGTGCTCTGCCTCCACCTGGCTCGGTTTTTTGCTTTTTGAGTAAATGTGCCGTGTACGCGACAGTTTCTTTTTGGTCAGTAGAATTTTTTTGCACCCGCTATGCCTCGCTAATGGGGTAAGGTGCAGTTTACTGGTTGATTACTAGTTAGCGAGATTTAAAAAAATCAAAACAAAACACGAGCCGTTATTGCTGTATAAACACAGTGTGTTTGATTCAATAAAAATCCATTTTGAGCGACCAGTAAATGACTGACTACTTGGTTTAACCCGTGGCATTTCATTGAAGGAGAATTTCTTAGTTCTATGTGGGAAACTACAGTGTATATATATTGTTTTTCTTTTTGTTTTTTTGAGACAGGGTTTCTATGTAGCTTTGGAACCTGTCCTGGAACTAGCTCTTGTAGACCAGGCCGGCCTCCAACTCACAGAGATCCGCCTGCCTCTGCCTCTGAGTGCTGGGATTAAAGGTGTGCACCACCACCGCCCGACTATATATTATTTTTCTTTTCCCTCCCTCCCTGTCCCAAGACTGGAAGATGAGAGTTATATTTAATTAAGAGAGGAGACATTTTGTTAACAGATGACAGAAAACTGTTTGAAAAGTACCGTGTTTACCATAGAGGAGGCAGAGTTGAATGCTTTCTTTTAAGCAGAAATGTATAATATCCGAGGCTAGAGTCACGCTCAGGTATTGATCATTGCCTTAGTGTGCTAGAGTCCTCGAAGAATAACTGCTGACCTTATTCACTGGCTGTGGACTTTCTGGCACGGTCAGTCACCAGGTTAGTGACATGCATAAGAATGGAAGTTAGGTTGGCTTTTGTCCAGCCATTAGAGGATGGCGTTTAGGGGTCCTCTTGAAAGGGGTGCTAGTGAAGAGCTAGTTAAGTGTGTTTCTGTTTTATGCTGTGTCAGAGTTAATGACGGTGAAAATTAACATTGCACTAGGAAGAGAGAACCTCAAAGATGAGCTTACGGGGAGGGAGGCCCTGAAGGCGCTTGCCTCCCCTTCCCGGTCATCCAGGTCACTTTGGGAAAGGTGGTATGAGGCATTACCACTTAAAGAGGAACCAGAGCTTCTGCCCGAATGTCACCCTGGATAAACTGTGGACGCTGGTCAGTGAGCAGACCAGGCAGAAGCGGTGTTGGAGGTGCCTGTGTTCTGGTGGCTTGAAGCCACTCAGGGAGGCCAATTAAATGCTAACATTTCAAAAAAAAAAAAAAAAAAAAAAAGAAATGTATAATAACAACCTATTGCTGCCCCACCATAAAAATGCAATAACAAATTACGGTTTTTTGTTTTGTTTTGTTTTTGAGTCAGGGTTTCTCTGTGTAACAGTCCTGTCTTTCACAACTTGCTCTGTAGACCAGGCTGGCCTGAACTCAACTGAGATCCACCTGCCTCTGCCTCCCAAGTGCTGGGATTAAAGGCATGTGCCTCCACTGCCTGGCTAGGTTTGTTGTTGTTGTTTTTCTGGTAATGGGGGTTGTGGATGGGTTCTTATAGCTAGTTCATTTTAACATTGGCCTGCACACACACAGTGGACCTTGGGCATGTTGCTTTTCTAGTCCTAGCTGCCTGATTAGTTAAGAGCTATAATGATAGGCTTAAGCCACCATGAAGAAACATAATAAGTTAAAAATAACTGTTCACTTGAGACATTTTAGCTTTTAAAATTTACTTTTATTTATGTATATGTGAGTGTTAGCTTTATGTGTGCCATGTGCACAGAAGCCAGAAGAGAATAAGGAGTTGCAGTCAGTTGTGAGCCTCCATGTGGGTGCTGAGAACCAAACCTGATCCTCAGTAGGAGTAGCAGGTGCTCTTAACTTAATCTCTCAGCCCCAGAAGCCCTCGGTGTTTAATAAGAAGAGGTTTAGAAAAAAAGAAGTACTAAAACAATGTGGAAATATCAAAAAGTTTTTGTAAGGAACCAAAAACTAATAAAACACATGTATTTATCAGTAATATCATTATCAAGTACCTTTGCTAATATCTCCCTGAAAAGGTGAGGGTTTTTATGTTGTTATTTAATGATATTACTTGATAGATGTATGCTGTCTGTTGATTTTTTTTTTTTAGGTTATCAGTCAAGTTGTAGTTGTGTCATATGAGGAAAATGTATAAATTGTTATGAATTTTGCTTTTTGAACAGAAAACCTAAAACCAAAAGGGCTAAGAGATTCCTTGAGAAGAGAGAACCAAAGCTCAATGAAAACATTAAGAATGCCATGCTGATTAAAGGAGGAAATGCAAACGCAACTGTGACGCAAGTTCTCAGAGACGTGGTAGGTAGAAACTTAGCATCTCCAGTGCTGCGTATCTGCTTGGGTGCCCATGGAGGCCAGAGGCCTTGGAGCGCCTGTAGCTGGGGCTATGATGGCTGTGAGCCTCCTGGATATGCTGGGAACTCTCTGGAAGAGGAATCCTCTTTCTAGCCCTGTTATCTTGCTTTTTAAAAAAAGAAGCTGTGCTTGGTGGCACACATCTTCAATCCCAGCCTGGTTTGCAGCGTGAGTTCAAGGATAGCCAGGGATACACAGAGAAACCCTGTCTCCAAAAAACCAAAAACCAAAACAACAAAACACGGGGTCTTACTATGTATTGCATCCTGGCTTTAAATATTCTTTTAAAGTAAGGTTGGACTTTTTAGAAACTTTTGAGCATCCTGAGTTGGGCCAAATGTGGTGGAATTGTGATGTCTTAAGATCCAGCCTTAAAGAAGAGCTGAATTGGGAGGGGTAAATAGAGACGCTGAAATTGGAAACTTTATCTTGTGAGTGTACTTGCAAGGGTACTTAAAGACTAGTCTCTGAGCGGATTTTTATTTATTTGAGTCTTGCCACTTCCCAGTGACCCTGCACAATGAATAAGGTCTAAGAGCAGTGCCATATTACAGAGTATTACCTGATGGTCATTCTTGGTTGTCAGAAGAAGGTGACAGTGTTCACTACAGTGGGACAGGGAAACACTTGGCTGAGAATCATCAAATGTTTTATTAAACATGGCGGCACATGCCTGTAAACCCAGAACTCGGGAGGCAGAGGCAGATTGGCAGCCAGGGCAGCCCAGGCTACATGGTGAGGTCCTGCCCTCACCCCTGAATTGGAAACAGCTGATGTGATGGCCCCCGAGTATAATTCCAATATTTGAGTGACTGAAGCAGGAAGATCGCCATGACTCTGCTTTTTGAATGTTTTTGTGAGAGAGTTTAAAATTATGTTTTACAGTATGCACTGAAGAAACCATATGGAGTTCTCTATAAAAAGTAAGTTGGTTTATTATTATTACTCACTTTGTTTAGCTGTAAAAGTAAGAATTGTTTACACAAGATTTGGAAGAAAAAAATGTTAGTATTTGTACTGAATGCTTCTTCTTGTTCTTATTCTTGTTCTTGTGTTTTTTGAGACAGGGTTTCCCTGTGTAACAGCCTTGGCTGGCCTGGAACTCAACCAGGCTGGCCTCCAGAGTTCTCCTGCCCTTGCCTCCCAAGTGCTGGAATTAAAGGCGTGCACCACCATGCCTGGCTCAGCATATTCTTGCATAACTGTAATATGTACACACTTTATTTTGAAATAATTACATATGCATAGGAAAGTTGTAAGCATTACTAGAATTCCTGTATGTCCTTTATCTAGGTCCTCCAGTGTTACATCTTGAATTATTATAGTGCAGTTATTCTAAGTGGGGAATTGGCATTACTGTGTTAATTTGAAGTGCATTATTGATTTATTTACTTGACTCAGTTTTTAGTTTCCACATTGCTTTTAGTTGTTTCCCTAGTCTTGATTTTCTTTTTCCTCCTTGGCAATATTAGGGATTGAACCCATGCTAGGCAAGTGCTCTGCCACTCAGGGCTAAATATCATCGGTCCCCAGGCATCTTCTGTTGTGTGTATGATGCGTGTGTGTGTGTGGGGGGGGGGGGTCTACGTCCCATGGTGCAGGTGCAGAGGACTTCCTGTGGACTTGGTTCTCCTTCCGCCTTTCTGTAGGCTCTGAAGATTGAACTCAGGCTCCTGGGCTCTCCAGGCAGATGCTTACTCATTGAGCCATCTTGCTGGCCCCACCCTTTGTCTTTAATTTGTGAAAGTCTTTGGTGGCTTTGTCTCCAGTTTCTTCATAAAGTTACTATTTTTCCCTTTGTAGCTAGTAAATGTTTACTTTGAAACTATGCAAATATAGTCATTCCTTGTAATTTCTTGGGAAGTGGATCTGTGACTTCCCTGGAATATACAATCCGTGGATATTCCAGTCCTGGGTGTGAAATGGCACGGTTGTCTCATAACCTATGCACGGTTCTCTGTATACCCTCAGTTGTCTCTATATTACTGTGTGAATAATGGATGCACAGCTGGCTGTAATGTTTAGGAATAAATCTAAGAAACAGAAGTCTTCGTATGTCCAGTGCAGATGCAGCCCATAGCCACCCCAACATTTCCTATGTGCAATCATATGAGTCTGTGGATGCTAAACTCACAAATTCTGAGGACTCTGGCTCCTCTCTTTCTGGAAATTTAGCTGTTACCCATCCTTCCATAGTATCTGTGTGTACAGTCAGGATGGTTGTGGTGCTCTAATGTCCTGTCTGTGTGTACAGTCAGGATGGTTGTGGTGCTCTATGGTCTCTTTTCTGCTTGGAATTCTGAAGAAAAAGGTTGTCTATCCCTTTATTTTTAAGTTACTTAACTCAGTGTGGGTTCAGTACACTCTTGAAGGTTATAATATAGTATTGTTATTGTATCCCGGTAAAGTCTGGTCTCATAGCACACAATGACCCTTTAATAAGAAAAATTTTAAAGAAAAGTTAAACAGGAGAGATGACTCAGCAGATCACTGTTTTCCAGTATTCTTTCTGTATATAGTCTGCCTTCTTTGACTGATGATACTTGTTTGGTTTTGGTTTTAGGGTTGTTGTGGTTTTTGAGACAAGGTTGCATATAGCCTGGCTGCCCTCTAACTCCTGATCCTTCTGCTTCCCAAGTGCTGCCCAGTTGTAGTCATACGGATTTCACACCATTGTCCACTTAGCTCACTCAGTTTCAGCAGTGCTTTTCTGCCTTTTTTGCTTTTTTAAGCTTCTGTGTGTTTCAGAATCTTTGCCTTCTGTGGGGAGTGCTAGAGATGAGATCCAAGGCCCTGTGTGTGCTAGACAGGCCCTCTCTGAGCTATCCCTTTGTACATTCTGCTCCCTCTGTTTTCATACTTTTTATGTAATTTATTTAACTTTATTTTCTGTGCATTGGTGTGCAAGGTGTCACATCCCCTGGAACTGGAGTTACAGATGTTTGTGAGCTGCATGTGGGTGCTGGGAATTGAACTTGGGTCTTCTGGAAGAGTAGCAAGTGCTCCTAACCTCTGAGCCATCTCTCCAGCCCCCATTCTGCTCCCTCTTAAAATAAGAGTGTGTGTATGTGTGTGTGTGTTTGCCCATGTGCATATGAAGGCCTGCCCGGGCCAAAAAGCATCAGATCTCACAGAGATGAGGTGAGCTGCCTGATGGGGTTTCTGGGACTGAACTTGGATACTCTATAAGAACCGTAAGCACCCTTAACTGCTGAGCTGTTGTTCTAGCCCAATACTTAGGATAATCTTTTTTTTTTGTTTGTTTTTTGTTTTTGTTTTTGTGATGGGATTTCTCTATTTAGTGCTTGCTGTCTTGGAACTTTCTTTGTAGACCAGATTGACATCAAATTCAGAGATCTGCCTGCTTCTGTCTCCCGGGTGCTGGGACTAAAAGTGATTGTTTGCATTTTTTGTCCTTTTGTTTTAATTATGTTTTGGGGTGTTTTGTCTGTGTACATGCCTGCACCATGTGTGTGCCAATTGCCATTGGAGGTCCTGGGCCTGGAGTTACAAATGGTTGTGAGCCACCAGGTGGGTTCTCTGAAACAGTACCCAGTGTTCTTAACTACTGAGCCACCTCTCCAGGCTTTCTCACCCTACTTTTGGGTGGTGTGTTTTGGGATTAGGTCTCACTATGCAACCCTGGCTTGTCTGGAACTCATAGATATCTACCTACTTGTACTTTCCAAATAGTGGAATTAAAGATTCGTCCCACTGTGTCGTACTCTCTTAATCATTTGAGTATATAATTACTTTTTATTCATTATATCATTTAACTGAATGTACTTATTAACATTATTAAAACTGGAATCATTCTTTTAAATATTCTTAGGAAAAATATTACAAGACCATTTGAGGATCAGACGTCACTGGTAAGTACAAGAATCTTCTTTAATAAAGGAGAGCTCATATGGGTAGGACTGGGTGTGTGGCTGGGGAGTAAGTGGTAATGGTACTGGCTCATCCTTGCCTAGCATGCCTGAGGCCCTGGGTGCCATTCCCAGCATCAGAAGTAACAGGACAGAACTGTGAAAAACTGACTTCAGACTAACTCATGCTGTACTCCTAATGTTATCTTTTCCTTTTTAAATTAGAAGTCCTATGTATAACAGTTTTGGTATCCAGACTATAAGATTATTCCTTTTTTTTCTTTTTTTAAAGATTTATTTCTTTTTTTTTAATATTTTATTTATTTATTATGTATACAATATTCTGTCAGCATGTATGTCTGCAGGCCAGAAGAGGGCACCAGACCTCATTACAGATGGTTGTGAGCCACCATGTGGTTGCTGGGAATTGAACTCATGACCTTTGGAAGAGCAGCCAGTGCTCTTAACCACTGAGCCATCTCTCCAGCCCCCCCCTCTTTTTTAAAAAAAAAAAAGAGATTTATTTATTATGTATACAGTGTTCTGCCTACATGTAGGCCTGCTGATCAGAAGAGGGTATCAGATCTCATTACAGATGGTTGTGAGCCACCATGTGGTTGCTGGGAATTGAACTCAGGACCTTTGGAAGAGCAGCCAGTGCTCTTAACCACTGAGCCATCTCTCCAGCCCCCAACAGAGAAGAATTTTATGAGAATTATAATGACTTTGATATAAAAAGAAAAAAAATACAGAGTTGTTTTTTTTTTTTTTTTTTTTGGTTTTTTGAGACAGGGTTTCTCTGTGGTTTTGGAGCCTGTCCTGGAACTAGCTCTTGTAGACCAGGCTGGTCTCAAACTCACAGAGATCCACCTGACTCTGCCTCCCCAGTGCTGGGATTAAAGGCGTGCGCCACCACCACCCGGCTACAGAGGGTATTTTTAATAAGAGTACTGCCCTTAAAGACATGCCATATCACTCCTTTTGGAGACTTTATTACAGAACACTTTTTTTTTCCCTCTGAGACAATGTTTTTCTATGTAGCCGTGGAGCTTGTCCTGGCACTTGTAGCTTTGGAGACCAGGCTGGCCTCGAACTCACAAGAGATCCACCTGCGCCAGCTTTTCTTAAATTATCTCTTCTGTCTTTTGCTTCTGGGCTTTTATCTGTTTCTATTCTGTATAGCTTTCTTTCCTTCTTACTCTGTGACTTGATGGGTGGCTGACCCCCATGCCCTTCTTTCTTTGTTCTATCTTGTTCCTTCCTCTCCTCCCAGATTTTTCTTTCTCTTTATTCTTTCTTCCTGCCAGCCCCGCCTATCCTTTTCCTGCCTCACTATTGCTGTTAGCTCTTTATTAGACCATCAGGTGGTTTAGACGGGCAAAGTAACACAACTTTACAGAGTTAAACAAATGTAACAAAAAGAGTACAACACATCTTTGCATCATTAAAACAAATGTTCCACACCATAAACAATGTAACACTTCTTAAAATAATATTCTACAGTAGAGCCTCTTGCTATGTAGCTCTGACTGGCTGGAATTTACAGCAGTGCTTCTGTCTCAGCCTTCCAAATTTATGAACCACCACAGCAGGCCAGGCTAAGATCTTTGAATGGTTTTCTTTTTTTCTCTTACTAGGAATTCTTCTCAAAGAAGTCAGATTGTTCTTTATTCATGTTTGGCTCCCATAATAAGAAGAGGCCGAATAATCTAGTAATAGGTGAGTATTGTATTCTATTTTGAGACATGGTCTTACTATATACCTCTGACCGACCAAGAATTTAGAGAGCTTCTCCTGCCTCTGAGCGCTGGAATTAGTGGCTTGTGACACCCACTACTCTAATGTTTTCACTCATAGAGTCAGCTCCATGACTCAGTTGACTCATGTTTTCAGGATTTACAGTCAGCTCAAGAGTAGTTCATGCTGGGCGGTGGTGATGCATGCTTTTAATCCCAGTACCCAGGAGGCAGAGGCCGGTGGATCTCTGTGAGTTCAAAGACCCTGGTCTACAAGAACTAGTTCTAGGACAGGCTCCAAAGCTACAGAGAAACCTTGTCTCGAAAAGCCAAAACCAAGAAAAAGAAAGAAAGAAAGAAAGAAAGAAAGAAAGAAAGACAGAAAGACAGAAAGACAGAAAGACAGAAAGACAGAAAGACAGAGAAAGAGGATAGTTTCTGTTGCTGCTGTAACCTTGTGACACTGGATATGTTTCTTTGGACTAGAGTCTACCTCAGTGGTGGAGTCCTTACCCAGCCTTTTGAAGGCTAGGTTTGGAAACTTTTTTGTCCACCAGTGACATCAGTATGACCTTCTAGCCCAGGGAAGCAAGAAAGAATGAGAAGTAGTTCTTGGTGAGTAGTCTTAGAACCCCATTGCAAACATCTTTGGAAAGCAGCTCTGGCTTTTAAGCAGGAAGTGTGGGTTTCTGGTGCACTGTTTATCTGTTTATTCTGTGTGTGTTTTTGTGTATAGGTAAACTGCATGGAGTTACAGATAGTCGTGACATGGGTGCTGGGAACCAAACTCAAATCCTCGGGAAGAGCAGGGAGTGTTATTACCCACTGAGCCATCTCTCCAGCCCTGATCATAGAAACTATATGTTTCTATCGAACATGTTCAGCCAAAGACAACCTTTTTTCATATATATATTGAATGGATGTTATTGTTAAGGTTTCATCCCATGCCTGATGCATGCTGAACTGTACCTGTTTCTATTTTATGTAATTATGTTTTAATAGAGTCTTTCTCTTTTTCCCCAGGCCAGCCTGTGACTTCTGTAGTCCAGGTTGGTCTTGAGCTCCATCGTCTTGCCTCCCCAGGGCTGAGGTTGTAAGTGCTCACTGCCACACCCAGCTCCCCATTTAGTCCCTAAAGTAAGGGAGCAGGGCTTGACGTGAGAGTAGAGAGTTTTCCGTGACTAATATCCTAACCACACAACTAAGTACATGGCGAGATTTAAGAAGGGAGTGTGTGAGTTTGGAGATACAGAGAAGACACAGATCATTTGGTGCATATCGGTGATATAAGGTGGCTACTTGGGGAATCTATGTGCTTAAAATGCATTTCCTTCTAGGTCGAATGTATGACTACCATGTGCTGGATATGATTGAACTGGGTATTGAGAAATTTGTCTCTCTAAAGGATATTAAGGTAAGATACCGATCTTAAAACTAAATAGCATTTTGGCCGGGCGGTGGTGGCAAACGCCTTTAATCCCAGCACTCGGAGGCAGAGACAGGCGGATCTCTGAGTTAAAGGCCAACCTTGTCTACAAGAGTTAGTTCCAGGACAGGCTCCAAAGCTACACAGAAAAACCCTGTCTCGAAAAACCAAAACCAAAACAAAACAAAAAAAAAACCAAAACAAACTAAATAGCATTTTAATAATGCTCTTGGCCAATACTGGTATTGATAGAGTTTTATAGAAAAAGAGCCTCATGCAGAAATACAATTTTACCTTTATTTTAAAAAGGAATAAAGAAGTGTAGGCTGGTTGGTGGTGGCGCACACCTTTAGTCCCAGCACTCACGTAGCAGAGGCAGGTAGATCTCTCTGTATTTTAAAGACCAAGCCTGGTCTGCAGAATGAGACCAACAAAAGAGGAATATATTTATAACAAACAATACATGTGGATTTTATAGCAGCTAAACTTCAGAGAGTAGTGCCCAGTTCTGGTTAGGCCTATGGTGTAAATGCCATCTTTCCTAAGTGATAACAACATTTAAAGACAATCCGAAGTTTTCCAGTTGAGCACTGTTCTACAACCATAAAGCTCTGGCTGCCCCTGTATTATTCTGTCTCAGCTATGGAATTATTGAATATGGGAATCTGCAGTTGCTACTTTGTTTGAATGGGATTTTGAAACAGAGTAGTAAAGTGTGGCCAGGACATCCCGAGAAAGGCAGGAGCTCTCACTTCATATTGACCCATCCGCCGCATTGTCTCACTTGAATCTTAGAGGTCTGAGTTAAGGCAGATCCTGCTTTCTGGTGGGGTCTTTGTTTGTGTTTGAGACAGGGCTCACTATGTGCTTTGGCTGACCCACAACTCCCTATGTAGACCGGGTTGGTCTTGAACTCAGAGCTTGACCTGCCTCTGCTACTCCAGTGCTGGGATTAAAGGCATTCGCCACCACACCAGGCTTAGTTTTCCATTTAGATTTGGTGATTGGAACACAAAGGGGTTTAACCTTAGAGTCATGCATATTTTAGGTAAAAGCCAAGATTAGAGTTTAGGAGCTTAGAGAGAAGGAATATTGTTTATAATGAAGGTTGTATGATTTAGTGGGTTTTGTGTATTTGATACAGAATTTTAAATAACCCAGGCTGGCATCAGACTTGCTGTGTAACAAGGCTGAGCTTGAGTTTCTGATCTTCCTGCTTTCATGCTGCAGAAGCACTGGGATTAGAGGCATGCTCCACTCTGTCCAACTGAGCTAGTGGGACTTGAGGCTTGTCGTATGGTTAAATTACGGTAAATGGACATATTTCTCGCTTCTTCAGTTCTCTAAAAAAGGGACAGACCTTGAAGCTTCAGTAGAGTAACTAAACTAAATATCCTTCTCCTGTGGCTTTGAAAAAAGGTTTTTGCAAGCTCCCTTATAGTCAATAACTCCAGCTTCCTTAGGTTCAGAGTAGAACAGTGACCTCAGATTGGACCTGTGGGTTAAGGCATGTCTTGCCATTTAAGTGACAGTTGTGATTTATCATAAAAGTGATTTTTCTGGATCCTCAATTGTGGTTGTAGCAACAATAAGTCAGAATGTATGTGTAAAAATGTTGAGATTATTTTAACAGGTATTGACTATCTTAAAAATTATTATATAAATTTTTAGATTTTGGAAGTTATTTAATTATGGTGCTTTTTTTATTTTTTTAAATCTCATAGACTAGTAAGTGCCCTGAGGGAACAAAACCCCTGTTGATTTTCGCTGGTGATGATTTTGATGTAACAGAAGACTATAGAAGATTAAAAAATCTTCTTATTGGTAAGAATTAATGGAACTCATCTCATTGACCTTACAGCTGCCTTTGAAACCTTCCTCTTCTGTAAGATTACGCTGTTGACATTGTTCCCTTCTCTGAACTGTACAACTCTCCTATCTTCATGCTCCAGTCTTCTTGTCTCACTGAGCTTAATAAGAGCTGCTTTCCTCAGCAGAGGGTGTGGTGCTGGAGGTTTCCAGGGACACAGGCAAGTCACCCCTAAAGAAATCTCTCCTTTTCCCCAGCAACGATTCACTGCCTATAGTTCTGTAAGGTGGTTTGGGACCTCATTAGCCCCTTCCCCATGTCTTAGCTATGTCTCTTATGATAAAACACCAGCAAAAGCATCTGGGGGAGGAAAGGGTATGTGTGTCTTACATATTCTGTGTCCACTGAGAAGACAAGGCGGGGACTGAAGCAGAAGAAGCCATGGAGGAATGCCTCTTGCTGGCTTCCTCTCCACAGCTTGCTCAGCCTGCTTTCTTTTTTTCCCCTTGTTTTCTTTTTTAAAATTTATTATTTATTTTTATTTATGTGCATTGGTATTTTGCCGTGGGTGTTGGGTCCCCTGGAACTGGAATTACATACAGTTGTGAGCTGTCATGTGGGTGCTGGGAATTGAACCCGGGTCCTCTGGAAGAGCAGGCAATGCTCTTAACCACTGAGCCATCTCTCCAGCCCCCTCAGCCTGCTTTTTTATACAACCCCAAACCACGTGCCCAGGGATGGCACCTTTGCAGGAACCACAGCTGATAACTGTTCAGAGATCAGCAATCATGTCATGTCATGTGAGTTCCACAGCACTCCTCCCCTTCCAGCGTCTTCAGTCTGTCTGTCCACTTCTTCACTTCCCTGAGCCTCAGATATCTTATTTAAAGCTGAGCGTCCAACAGTTGTTTACTTTGATTGCTTTGACCAGTTACGAGTCTGCAGTAATTGCTCTCCTCCACAAAAAGATGCTCCTCTGACAAACTGAGAGCAGCACTGATCTGTGGGCGTACACATAAATACGTAGAAGGCAGTATGACAGTAATAGCATGTCCAGTAGCTAAACATCTGCAGTTGAACCTCCACTAGGGCATGTGACCGCCCCAGCCACAGGCTTTTATTATGCTCACAACAGTCTGCCACTGTTGCATCAGTGAGTGCATCTTGCTTGGTGAATCAGTAGTGTAACGTGTGAGGACCACATTGAGTTAAGACTGTGGACATCAGTTCTACACAGCATCATGCATAGCAAGCCAGGGAGAAAGCTTCCGTATCTTGATTTCTTTGTGTCCTGCAACCAAAGTGTGTGGTGTCTTCAGCAGTGATGTTTTATCTAGTTCTGGTGGGCAACTGTCAGCAGTGACAATAACCTGTATTATTTGGGGTGAGGGAATTTGTTTTTGCTTTTGTTTTTCAAGATAGGATTTCTTTCAAGATAGAGTCCTAGCTGTTCTGGAGCTAGCTCTTGTAGACCAGGCTGGCCTCAAACTCACAGAGATCTACCTACTTCTACCTCCCAAGTGCTGGGATTAAAGGTGTCCGCCACCACATTTTAAAAATGTGGTTCTTTGCCCTAGGTCACTTGAAAAGTTGGTGGCATATAAATTGTATACTTGACTTTAAAAATCTAAGGTCAGCAAAGGATATTTATGATAGACATGTTGAGAACAAAAAGCTTTCATATTTCCTAGTGATTGTACTCGTTTTACTGGGATCGTAATTTTTAGAACTTCTCAGTTAATGACTATTGCTATTATTTTTTATTGTTGTGCTGAATATTGAATCCCAGAGCCTTATGACTTCTAAACAAATGTGCCACCCCACACCAACCCCAGACTTTAAGATTTTTTTCGTTTTTCTGTGTGTGTGTGTGTGTGTGCCTCAGATGTAGGAAGTCCTTCTGTATATGTGTTTTTATTGGTTAATGAATAAAGAATCTGCATTGGCCTGTGATAGGGCAGAGTAGAGCTGGGGGTGGCGACTAAACTGAATGCTGGGAGAAAGAAGGCGGAGTCAAGGAGATACCATGTAGCCACCAGAGGGGAAAGACTCCAGCTGTCAGTTGGAACCTTGGCGGTAGGCCACAAGCCCTGTGGTAAAATATAAAATAATGGAAATGGGTTAATTCCAGATGTAAGAGCTAGCTAGCAATACACTTAAGCTATTGGCCAAACACTACTACAAATAATATATTTTCTAAGTAATTGAGTCAGGGCGGTGGGGAAACAAACAAGAGGCCTCCCACAACATGTCTCAGAGCACATGGCGAGGTCAGAGGACAACTTTGTGGTTTGGATTCTCTCTTTCCATCATTACTAGGTCCTAGAGATGGAAACCACGTCTCTAGGCTTGTACAGCAAGTACCCCTCCCACTGAACCATCCATCACATTAGCGCTCTTTGGTTATTTGAGACAAGATCTCACTCTGTACCTCAAAGTAGCCTGAGTCTCAGTATGAAACCCAGGCTGGCCTTGCCCTTTCAGCAGTACTCATGTCTCAGCCTTCCAGATGCTGAGATGCAGGTACAGTCACCACTCCCAGCTCAAGAGTAGTTTTGAGAAGGGTCTTGCTGTGTCTCTCAAGTTGGCTTCAAACTAGCCTGTGGTCTTCTGCTCAGTCTTTTGAGTTTGGGACTATAGCGTTCTGTCATGTGTGGCTTTGTGTCTTTTCTCTCTTTTCTCTTTCCTTCCCTCTCTCCCGCTCCCCACCCCTCCCTTCCCTTCCTTCCTTTTGAGACAGGGTTTCTCTGTGTAACCATCCTGACTCCTGCAACTCACTCTGTAGACTAGGAACTAGGAGATCAGCCTGCCTCTGCCTCCTGAGTGCAGGGATTAAAAGTGTGTACTGCTACTGGGCTCCTTTTCTTGTGTGCATGCATCTGGGTCTCTTTTTGAAATGGGCTTTGTATTGTAAGCTGGTACCAGTGTGCAGCAGTTCTTTTATTACACAGAATTATAAACGTGTGCCACCACACGAGGGCTCACTAGACTTCATAAACCCTGTCTCATATCTTGTACTTCCACTAGATGGCATGAAAGACTACACAATGCAGTGACTGGGAAGGGGAAAGAAATTCGGGACAGAAGTAGAAAGGTGGAAGAGGAATGTTGTTGACGGGGAAGCCAGGCCACTGCTTGGTCTTATGTGTCCAAATGAAATACAGCAACAGCAGCCCTGTACTTGGGAGAGTGTCATCCCCGACCTCCTCCGTGTGTGAACACCACATTCACACTGTGTGATGTAACCTTAGGGTGTGTGCTTACGAACCTTGTGACAGGAAAGGCTAATACAGGACTGTCTCCTGCAGAGTTCTTTTCTGGTCTCTACAGTGAACCTACTGGGATGAACCCAGGACTTTATATATGCCAGGCGTGCCTTCTGTTATCAGATTATATTCCAACCTATACAGTTGCTTTTTTTGAAAAACAATTTTTTTTTTCATTTTTGGCTTTTGTTTGTTTTTGCTTTTGTTTCTTGAGACAGGGTTTCTCAATAGCTATGGAGTCAGTCCTGGAACTCGCTCTGTAGACCAGGCTGGCCTCGAAGAGAGATTTGCCTGCCTCAACCTCCTGAGTGCTGGGATTAAAAGTGTGAGCCGCCACCACCTGACAAAAAACAAAATTTATTACTGTGTATATGATGTGTAGTGGGTGTGCATGTGTGTGGAGGTAAAGGAAAACGTTGTGGACTTGACTGCTCCTTCCACGTTTACCTGGGTCCTGGGAATTGAACTTGGGTCTCCAGGCTTGCATAGCAAGCGTACCTACTCACAGTGCCACTTACCTACCTGGGAAACACAGGAAACAATACCAGTATTTAGGTTCTGTCTGTCCGAATTTTTATGGCTGTTTGTTTTTTTTTTTTTATGTGACTGTTTCTAGTATATAAAGAAGATAGTAAACAAAGAATAAGTGTATTTTGGTGAATACTTTCTGAACTCAGTAGGTAGAGTCAGGGGTTTATAGAGTTTAGAGTCATCGTCATAGTGAGGAGTTTGAGGCCAGACTGATGTTTCTATCTGTCAACATGTCTCAAAACAAACTGAAGTAAGCTGGAGAAATAGTGCAAGGGCCAGTTTGATGTGGGAAGGTCATTTGTCTATCTGTTGCTTTCATTGGTTAATTAATAAAGAAACTGCTTGGCCTGATAGCTCAGAACATAGGTAGGTGGAGTAAACAGAACAGAATGCTGGGAAGAAGGGAAGTTAGGAAACACCATGCCTCTCCTCTCTGGGCAGATGCCATGGAGCCAGCCACCAGGTCAGACATGCTGCATCTTTCCTGGTAAGCCACCACTTCGTGGTGCTACACAGATTATTAGAAATGGGTTAAGCAAGATGTGAGAATTATCCAAGAAGAGGCTGGAGCTAATGGGCCAAGCAGTGTTTAAAAGAATGCAATTTGTGTGTTGTTATTTCAGGTGTAAAGCTAGCCGTGTGGGAGCCGGGCAGGACTAAAAGCAGGCCCGCAGCTCCTTCTACACCAGCTACATGCTTGAGTTTGGTCATAGTCCCAGAGCTGGGGAAGTAGAGACAGACGGCCAGCCTAGCCTAGTTACCAAAGTCTACTCCAGGGAAACTCTGTTCTGGGGAGCAACCCTGGAGATTGCTCTCTAGCCTCAGTGAACATTTGTCTGTGTCCCCACAAATCCCTGCAAATACACACACACGCACACACAGAGTTGCTAAAAAGATAGCACTTTGTAACTGAATTTTTTTTAATGATTTATTTTTATTTTATGTGCATTGGTGTTTTGCCTACATGTATGTCTGTGTGAGGGTGTCAGGTCCCCTGGAACTGGAGTTTCAGACAGTTGTGAGCTGCCATAGGGTCCTTTGGAAGAGTAGCCAGTGCTCGTAACCACTGAGCCATCTCTCCAGCCCCTGTAACTGAATTTTGAAATAGTTCTCTTTCTTAACAACTGAACATGTGCTTTCAGATTTCTTCAGAGGCCCAACAGTGTCAAACGTCCGACTGGCCGGATTAGAGTATGTTCTGCACTTCACGGCACTGAACGGGAAGGTTTACTTTCGAAGCTATAAGTAAGTGCGTTTTCCGGTGGTTTTCAAAGCCCTCTGGGATCACATTGTATTCTAGCTCAGAGTTGGTTCCTGCCCAGTGTGTCTGCAGGATTTGCAGAAGGTAGCGGCAGGAGCTGTGCCCTGACCTCCCATCCAACTGCTCTGAGAAACTCACTTTCCAGGGTCCCTGATCATCTGTTATGCACCTGGCATATTTAGTAATCGCCCTTCCTAGATTTCTGTGCTGTCTCACTGTCCTTGACGGGATTTAGAGCAACAAGCCACAGTCAAGCCAGACATCCTAGATTTGAAAGTTCCAGCATCAAGTGTGTAGGAAGTACCATTGACTGCTGCGTTAATTTCCTCTCTCGTGTAGGTTTCTGCCATAACCCCAGTGTAATATTAATATGAGTGTAGATTCCAGCAAGCAGATTGTTTTGTTGTTTGGTTTGAGTTTTTGAAACAATATCTCTTGATGTAGCTTTAGACTGGCCTTGAACTCATTGTGTAGCCCAGGTAGGCCTCAGATTTGGAGTTCTCCTGCCTTGACTTTTTAGGTGCTGGCATTACAGGCCAGAACCACTACTCCCAGCCAGATTGTCTTGAATTTTTTTTTGGGAAAAAAAAAATTTTTTTTTTTGAAACAGGGTTTCTCTGTGTAGCTTTGGAGCCTGTCGCGGCCAGATTCTTGTTTTACTGATGAGATACTGCCATGCTAAAATTATTCCAAGTTAGGGTTAGCATCCCTTTTTTACTTTAAAAAAAAAAAAAAATAGAATGTCCAGATGAAACTTAAGTATTTACCTCTTCTTGCCTATCAGTCTTTTTGTGCCCGGCGATATAAAGGTTTATGGAGGGACAAGCTAGATGGGATCAGTCCCCTTAGCAGCTGCTTTCCTCTTGGCCTCGGTCCCTCTGCTCTTCTCTCTTCCACTGTGGACGACACCTCTGGCCTCCTCCACATGTGTGTGTGTGTATCCGTGCATACACGCACATAAACCAGACTTCAGAGCAAGGGTGAACTGTACGTTGTGGCAGCACCCCTCTAATCCAGCCTTAGGAAGGCAGAGGCAGGTGGATTGCTGAAGTCACTTTTAGGGTTAGCCTGCCAGTCATTCACAGTACAGTGTTTTAATTTCAAAATCAGGACCCAATATAAACTTTTATTTCCTAGGCTGGGATGGCAGACACATGTCAGCATGCCTAGCATTCATTTTCCTCTTTTCAGGGAAGGTGAGACAAGGTTTCTCTGTGTTGCTCTGGCTGTCTTGGAACTCTGTAGACCAGGCTGCCCTTGAGCACAGATCTGTCTGCCTCTACTTCCTGTCCTGGGGTTAGAGGTGTGAGCCCCATACCTGACTCATTCTATCCCTCTGTTACTATAGCGCTTTGTTGTTGACCCTTCTGGTCTTTCTGCGTCACAGACTGTTGTCTCATTTAATTGAGTGTGGGTGATTGCTTGATGTCTGTGTGATTCTTGCTGTGAGCAGTACTTGTGCCTCCCATGCATGCACACTCTGTTGGCTATCTCCAGGTGTACTTAGGACCCAGAGTTCTGCTAGTAGGCATCAGCACACACATGCCAGCTTCCTGTTTGCTCTCTTGAGCCTTCCGTAATTGTTCTGTTCCTTCTCATTACCCATGTCGTCTGTTGACTTGCAGTGCTAATCAGTTCATATCTCCCTTCCGTCCCTTTTCCCTCACGCCTCTTTACCTGTGGGGACATAGCTGCTCTAAAATGTGGTTGCTAGGGGCTGGAGAGATGGCTCAGTGGTTAAGAGCATTGCCTGCTCTTCCAAAGGTCCTGAGTTCAATTCCCAGCAACCACATGGTGGCTCACAACCATCTGTAAAGAGATCTGGCGCCCTCTTCTGGCCTTCAGGCATACAGACAGAATATTGTATACATAATAAATAAATTAATTAAAAAACACACACACAAATAAAATGTGGTTGCTAAATGTAATGTTCAGATTTTTTTTATTTTTTTTTTTTTTTGAGGCAGGGCTTCACATAGCCCAGGCAGTCCTGAAATCACTGCATATCAGAATGGCCTCTAACTGGTCCTCCTGCCTCCATTCCAAGTGCTAGGGTTATACTTCAGGTCTTTCAGCTCTTCTTAGGCCGACACTCATAAGACAGCGGGGAGTGAAGCCAGTTGTGGACCTAAGAATTTATTTACTGGGAGTTTTAGGTTTACTACAAGCTACGGAGTCAATGAACTGCAGGGAAGTCAATTTTGAATGGGTTGATTTAACTTAATAATGCTGGAGGTGGGAATTTGTTCATCTTTTCAACATACTGTTTCTTTTTTCTTCTTTTTCTCCTGAAATAGGGTCTCACTATGTAGCTATGGCTGTCCTGGAATTTACTATGTAGATCAGGCTGGGCTCAAACTCACAGAGATCCACCTGCTTCTGCCTCCAAGTACTGGGATTAAAGGTGTACACCACCATGTCCACTAAACATACTGTTTCAAAAGTCTAGTTACAACTTAGAACATTCATGTGTTCTGTCACTGAATTATTTTAATTTTTCTTTTCTTTTTCTTTTTTCTTTCTTTTTTTAAGTTTTTTGAGACAGGGTTTCTCTAACTTTGGAGCCTGTCCTAGAACTAGTTCTTGTAGACCAGGCTGGCCCTGAACTCACAGCAATCTGCCTGCCTCTGCCTCCAGAGTGCTAGGATTAAAGGCGTGCGCCACCACCGCCCGGCTTTGAAAATAATTTTCATACTTGTTGTTTCTCAGCAATATTGCGTCCTTTCATTTCTGATTTTTAAAAACTAGCCAAAAAATATACTTGGTATGAATGCCAAAAGTATCTAAGAAGAGGCTTGGCCTCTTCCCCATTCCTGTCACTATTTGAAACTACACACCCCATTCAGCAGAGGTTTTTCAGAGAGGACTTTAAAACATAAGCAAAGCAGTATCTCCCCTATTCCTAAAGGCTGCTGTTGAAGAAATCTGGCTGCAGAACCCCACGAATTGAGCTGGAGGAGATGGGACCGTCGCTGGACCTCGTTCTGAGGAGGACACACTTAGCATCAGATGACCTTTATAAATTGTCTATGAAAATGCCCAAAGCTCTCAAGGTAAACCACCTGTTTATTCCTGTATTCCTCTCCTGCCAGGAAGGATCTGTGGCCATTCTGTTAAAGAGATGGAAAAATGAATAAAGGAGATAAAAAGTTAGGCTCCGAGCTAGAAAGGAAAAAAACCCTGTCAAGATATGAAGGTAGAAGAGCTGCAGAAGCCAGGGGGCTGGTGTGGCTGACAGTGTTCTTGTAGCCAGGACCTCCATTTTCCAAGGAGCCAGAGCAGTGTAGACATTGTGAAGACAGGTTGAGAGCTGTCTTTCTAGAGCAGTATACTTGTTAAACGTGTATTGACTTGATGTCTAGTCTGGCCTTGAACTCGGGATTCTTCCGTCTCAGACCTTCAGTGCTGGAATGCAAGCATGCACTGCCAGGCCCAACTTCGTTTTCATTAATTTCCAAAACAACTAGTGTGGCTAGAAGGATGGCTCCACCATACGCTCACCCCTGTGACATCCTCTCGTGGCCTCCATGAGCTCCTGCACACACACACACACAAACAGCAGTAAAATAAATGGTACACACCAGGTAGAGAGCATAACTGGGGAACACTAGTACAGACTGAACTGGTAACTCAGCCTTCTGGGGACATGGCAGATGACCTGACATTTTACCAGATGGCAGTGACTGGAGCTGAGTGAGAACTTGCGTTTTAAAGAAGTCCCATGGTCCCTAGAGAGGACAGTTGTGTAAGGCTGTGTCCTTTGTGTCATCTGGAGTCTTCACAATGGGAATTGTGTACTAGATTTTTACAAGTTGTGTAGTAAATAAAAGGGCACTGAAAAATTACATATGTATGTGTGTGTGTATTTCTCTTATTTTATAGCCAAAGAAGAGAAAGAATATCTCTCAGGATACTTTTGGTACAACTTTTGGAAGGATTCATATGCAGAAGCAAGACCTAAGCAAACTACAGACCAGGAAAATGAAGGGGTTGAAGAAGCGACCTGCAGAGATGGGGACAGACGACGAGGGGAAAAAATCAAAGAGAATTAAGAAAAATGATTGAAACCAACTGATAGTGACCACTTTCTTGTGGTTGTTTACTAAAGAGAACTGTTCGATTTGAGTCTGTTTTTTTCATAGGAATTTGTTGTTTCTTTGTAGGTTTTTAGAGGCATAGTGGTATGATGAGATCTAATATTGTAGCCCAGGCTAGCCTCAGTCTCCCAAGAGCAGCAATTACAGGCATGTACCACCATACCTAGCATATTGTATATTTCTGTAACATAACTTATTACTTAAATTTTTAAAAAATTTGAAGTTGTATGTGTTTGGATCATATTCATCCCAACTTTTCTATTTGTTTTTTATTTTTTAATGAATGTGTGTGCCTGTGCATGCATGTCACAGTGTGGGTATGGTGAGAAGACAGGGAATGTGTGCGCGTGCATGTCTCAGTGTGGGTATGGTGAGAAGACAACTGTGGAGTCGGTTAGCCCGTGGGGACTGAACTCAGTCAGTTTGTCAGGCTCTACATTAGGTAAGTGCCCTTACCCACTGGGCCACCCTGCTGGCCCAGTCTGTTACACACTACAGTTTAGAGCAGGTTTTCACCTGTGCCTGCTGTGACAGTCTGTCCCTCCCCAAATTCTTTCCTTTGGTTGTTGTTTGAGAATGAGGGGCCACCACCCCTGTGGACAGTAACTTGGGTGACAGAAGAAGTGAGGTGAAGTCAGAGCGAGCACATGGGCAGAGCTTTAAGGGGAGAAGACTTTCCTGAGAGGGTTTACACATTGATGAGTGATCAGGCTTCTCCCAAACAGAGGAGGAGGCTGGGGTGTTAGGGACTGGAAATTCTCTGCTGGTGTAGTGTGGTATATTCTTAGGAAGCCACTGCCTTGTGTGAGATGCCAGTCCGTGGCCAGTTTGTCTTCGGAGAATCATGGTTCCAGGAAACTCCACTTTCTTAGAAGGCCAGGCATGCAGTAAGGAACGGCACCAGGCATTGCAGAGAGAGAGGATTGGGAAAGACAGGTGCGCTTTCTAGTAACAGCTTACGGATTGAGAGCCAAGCGCTTACCTGTCTCACATGCTGGGCAGAAGCTCTGGAAAGCAGAAGTGACCGCTGTTCGCACACTACTTCAGTCTGGATCCCGGCAGTGTACCCCAGCACACGACTGCAACTTGATCTCTAGTTTTACTCTTACTGCCTTGCTAGAAATCTTACCACTTAGATTTGCCTGTCCTGGATGTTACGCACAGCTTTGACTTCACTGCTAGGGAGGCAGATGCCTTGAATTCGAGACCAGCTAGGGCTACAGTGAGACCCCATCTCAAAAGACAAGCTGGCTTTGTAGTTTAAAATACGGTTGTTTGAAAGTGATGATGCGGTCATTGATGCAGTCCTGCCCAGTTCTATTACTGTTTTTACCCGGGGCTTCGGATGTTGTGCTGGGCTTTCCTGTTGAGCTCCATTCCCAGCCCACAGAGGAATTTAACCAGGTGGATCTGGGAAGGGTAGAGCTCAGAACTGGCGAGGTAAGGTGCAAGGCACTTGAGGATCGGGGTAGTGCTTGGAAGCTATAGGTGCCTGGAGAACCTGGGTATTTGTAGATAGAAGAGTAATCAGCCCCTTGGAGACCAGCCCCACCCTTCCTCCTAATACTGTGTACCAAAGAACAGCAAACTTAGGTTCAAGTTAGTCCTTAGCCGAGGGGGTGTAATGTCCACAACGCCACTGCCTTTAAAAGGATTTACCTATTTTGACGTTTGCTTGCTGCTGGCTCCAGAGTACTGTCATCGGTGCCGCCACACCTGGGTTGTTTTGTTTTTAAAGATTTGTTTATTATGTATATAGTCTTTGCTTGCATTTCACCTGCACACCAGAAGAGGGCATCAGATCCTATTATAAATGGTTATGAGCCACCATGTGGTTGCTAGGAATTGAAGTCAGGACTTGTGGAAGAGCAGCCGGCGCTCTGAACCACTGAAATAACTCTCCAACCCCTGGATTTTTTTTTTTTTAATTAAAAAATTTTCTTTATTGCTTGTATGTTTGTGAGTATGTGCACATGAGTATGGGTGTCTGTGGAGGCCAGAAGAGAATGTGTCAGCTCCCCTGGAGTTGTGTTTGTGGGCTGCTAGGTATAGATGGGTACTAGTGCTAAACTCGGCTGGATGTGGATGGGTACTGTAGTGCACCACACCCATCTGCGATCTATGCACTACCATACAGTTTGTGAATCGGGCAAGGGACTGGAGATGGAAACACAGAGACAAGGGTCATCCTTGAAACAGGAATACCCCTCCCCCCCTTATTGTGTACCAGAGTGCTTTTATAGAGATCCTTAACTGATAGCCACGCCCCAGCCAAACCCACCAGAAACCACTCTCCTGCCATCAGGAACTCCTGAGTCCTGCTCAGAGCAGCTGCGGGCTGTCTCAGAGCAGAGGAAAACAAGTTGTTTACAAGAAATTCAGGATCTGGGGGTTCACAGGTCCCAACAGAGTACTAGTACTGAACTCAGGTCCTCTGGAAGAACCGGTTTTGCTCTAACCATTGAGCCACCTCTCCTGCCCATGAAACAATCCTCAGCACCACGAAAGAAAAAAACCAATTGAGCATGGTAGGTTTCAGCAGTGAGCCCAGCATCGGAGAAGCAGTGTTTGTGTGCACATGTGTATGTACATGTGACACAGAGCGTGTTTCCAGCCTCACATCTAGCAGTATCCCAACCCCATGCCTGCCTGTGCATGCGTCTGCACATACTCAGCCTCAGGTCAGCAGTTCTGGTAAAGGAAATGCTGGAGTCTGTGTTGCCTTCTGTGTACTTTCTCCCGTGGACCAGAGTTCCCACGCCAAGGCTGAGGTGTGTGCTTGACCTTGGGCGTCCCGTTTGGGCAAACACGGAACAGGCTCCTGTGTAACTGCTGCAATCAAAGTCGTCTTTGACGGTTCACACACACCAGCTTGTGTTTATTTTCCCGATCCCTTATCTCAGGGTTTCTATTGCATGGCCATGGCAACTCTTAACGAAGGAAAGCATTTAATGGGCTGGCTTACGGTTTCAGAGGTCCATTATCAACATGGTGGGACATGGTAGCATACAGGCAGCCATGATGCTGGAGAAGGAGGTAAGATTCCTGCTTTGATTGAAGGTAACAGGAAGTAAACTGTGACACGGGGCACAGTTTGAGCATAGGAGACCTTAAAGCCATGCCTAATAATGCTATTCCCCATTTTCTTACAAACCACTGCATCCTATATCCCCAATTTCCCCACGGTCAGTTACCTGACAACAATGGTGGAAGACAGAGTAGGGACATCATAGTCATGCAGTGCATGTATGTAATTCTAGTCATGATAGTGCACATATGTAATCGTAGTCACGGTGGTGCACATATGTAATCGTAGTCACGGTGGTGCACGTATGTAATCGTAGTCACGGTGGTGCACGTATGTAATCGTAGTCACGGTGGTGCACGTATGTAATCGTAGTCACGGTGGTGCACGTATGTAATCCGAGTCACGGAAGTGCATGTTTTGGTCCAGGTCACTGTGTTAACGTTTGTGGTCCTAGGGTAGGTCCTTGGAGCTCACCTACTTGCCAGCCTAGACTACACAGTGAGCCCCAGCCCCAGTAGGAGATTCCATCTCAGAAACTGAGGTGGAAACCAGGTGTGGTGCATACGACTATGCTCCTAGCACTTGGCAAGCGGAAGCAGTCTGATCTCTGAGTTTGAGGCCGACCTGGTCTGTATGGAAAGTTCCAGAATGACATAGTGAGACCCAGACTCAAAACAAAAACTAAGGTGAGGTGAGGCACTCCTGAGGAACACTATCTGGTGGACCTCTAACCACACACGCTCATATATATGCACATGAACATATACTCTAAACCCAGCGGCAACAACAAAACCGCAGAGTGGACAGTAATGGAAGCTTTGTTTGGTGGTATATTGTCCAACAATGGGACACATCACAACAGTGTTCCCCAAGATGACATCATCTGGCCTTCAACTGAGCCCTTTGTTATGTATGTATGCTATGATATTTGCCCAAAAACTGCTTAACAAGTTTCAGAATGTGTTCCGTTGCTAAGTAGCAGAGGACTGAAGGGGTAATATGGCAGACATTTTGTTGTTTTGTCTAATCCCTTTGCTCAGGTGTGTGGATCTCTGAGTTAGAGGCCAGCCTGATCTACACGGAGAGTTTCAAGACAACTAGGATACATGTAGAAACAATCACACACACACACACACACACACACACACACACACACACACACACNGAGGGCAGTCACTATCACTGTGAGTCCTGAGCCAACATGAGCTCCTCACCAGCTGGAGCCACAAATAGGCCTTTTTCTACGATAAACTGTAACATCTGTAGAGAAAGGAAAAACTGGGAGGGGGGGGGTTATAGGAAAGTTTGCTTAATGGCTATTGCATGCCAGTTAGGAGCCAGTAGATTTGGTGTATTAGCCCCACAGTGTGTGATCTAGATAATATACTGGGAGGAGGGATTGTCAATGTCTTCATTATAAAGAAATGGTAAACATTTGAGGAGATAATTGTATTTAGGTAGGTTTAAATATTAATATGTGTATGTATGTATATCACGGGCTGAAGATGGCTTTCAGGGGTTAAGAGCACTGACTTCTTTTCTAGAGGACCCAGGTTCTATTCTCAGCACCCACATGGCAGCTCACAGCCACCTGTAATGGGATCTGGTGCCCTCTTCTGGCCTGTAGGCATACATGCAGACAGAATACTGAGAATACTGTATATTCTGTATAGATAATAAATAAATAAATCTTTTAAAAAAGAAGACTAAATTATAACTGATTTTATAATCATTTATAATTATTAGGGCTGTAGCCCAGTTGGGTAGAGGACTTGTCTAGTGTTCATGAGTCCCTGGGTTCCATCCTAAACACTACAGAAACCAGCATGGTAACAAACACAGGTAGTAGAGGCAGGAGGATCAAAGTAGTTCAAAGGCATCTTCTGTTATATAGGGAGGTCAAGGCGAGCCTGGTGTACACAAGACCCTGTGTCCAAAAGAATAAAATAAAATAAAATAAGGACTTGAAAAGATAACAAAAAGGTCGTGCTGCCGTGAGATACCTGTGGCCTCATTCTCCCATGATTCCCTTGGTGCCTCTTTCTCCCATGATTCCCTCGGTGCTTGCCTGAATGCTTCAGGAGCTGTCATGTCAAAATACTGACAAAGTTGTCATGCTGTGGGATGTCAAGGCTTCTAAGTTCAAGTGTCTTTATTGGTTTCTTTTTATTTTATTATTTTATTCTTATT